TTAGAACCATACCATTTAAAATCTCATATATGTACCATTTTTCAAAAATTCAAATTTATTCATATACCATTACATTTGATCAAGGGGTTTTCTAATAACACTCCTCAGTCACCAATTTAATAATTTCACCAATTAAATAATTTCATTTTATTATTACATATATACTGAATTTCAATTAACACGTTAGTTTATTCCATAATACATTTAGACAGCCTCATATACAATCAATAGCATACAACGGAAACAATCCGAATCATCTGAACGATGCTACCAACTCTAAATCTCTTAGATGGCCAAACATTGCCCCGATTATATCATACATACATATAAAATCATTATAAAACATATAATATTCACGAATAAAATAATTCATCATATATATTATATTATAACAAATAATTTCTAATTTACTATACTGTGCACGTTTATGAAAAAGACGCACGGACTTGTCCTCACAACAGATTGAAGATGTACGCGCAACAGTTCGATGAACTGTCATCTAAAGACTGAAATAAAAAGAGTTAGGCAAAGAGAAAGGCCATACCCGAGAATTGCCTATATTTAATTATGGGCAGGGCATTGGTTTATAATGATTTTAAATGTCTATCTTAAATAAGTTAATTCTGTTAGTGAAGATGTTAGTACAGGGCCGTAGCCATGAATTTTCACTTAGGGGGGCCAAGTGCTTACTTGGGGGGAGGGGGCACTATTTTTTTAAAATCAAACAAATAATTACGCATTCATAAAAAAAATTTCCTATTTTTATTAAAAATTTAATAACAAAATAATACTATAATATGAATATACAAAACAAAATAATACTATAATATGCATATACAAAACAAAATATTACTATAATAGAATACGGCGATTTTTATTTTTAAATTTTAATATAAATGAACTAAAAGATAAATTCTGCTTTATTCTTTTTTCATACGCCATTAATACTAAATTTTGTTTACGTTTATCCTTCATAGACTCTCTACTGCTCGATAAAACTCTCTTTAATATAGAGAACGAGGCCTCACAAGAAGCCGTTGATATCCCAATGATTATCGCTGCTGAGAGCATTTATATAATTCTTTAAATGCATTATATTTTTTTTTATACATAATATGTAAGATATTTTCAAAATTATGATTTTCTTTAGCTTCCGAAGCTAGCAATCCTTTTGCTATCTTCATTTCATGATGCAGTGTTTCCATATTTAAGTTTAACAGGGATTTTAATGGGGCCATTTTATCTGATAAAAAATAATCAGTGTCAAGGGGGGACAATGTATTAAAAGATGAAAAAAGATTAAAATCATCTTCTGTAAATCGGTCTAAAAAACGATCCACAAAGTTATCTATAATTTCATAATATATCCTTTTTAAAGAACTCCAATTGGAGTCTTTTTCACAATCAAATTCTAGTTTGCTATCAAGTAAAAAATCTTGGAAATTTTTAGGCGTTTTACGTATCCGCGATGATATTTGGGGAGTAAGATTAAATTTTGATAAAAGTTTTTCAGCTTAATCATAATCAAAGCAAAAGAATTATCACTTCTTTTATTTTTTAATATATTGATAGTAGAATCAATACAATTTTTAGCATCCACTAGATTAGTACCTACTGATTGTAGATATTTATTTAGTGGATCTATTGTAATTAATATCTCATAAATTATGATGGCTAATACAATGTAATTTATATTAATACATTGAGATAAAAGACCAGAGGCTTCGACTGAATCATGACTGAATTAAGAGTTCTATTAGAAAAGTAAAATAATACTTCACCAATAGCCTCAAAATTCTCATAAATAATGCGAGATGTTTCCAAATGACCAGTCCACTTCTGGTCTAAAATTCTCATAAGGGTGTGGCCTGTATATTTACAGGATACGTTAAAACGCCTGAAAAAATTATACAATGCATTTGATAAATTAAAAAAATTAGAAATAATAACAATATTATTATACCAATTTTGAGCCACAAGATGCAACTTGTGGTTGTAGCAATGTATAAAAGGAACATTTTTATTAATTTTTTTTTGAAGAAGTGTTTGCACTCCTCCATTTTGGCAAGACATAACGTTTGCACCATCATATGCCTGGCTTATTATATTAGCTGAATTAATATTTGGATCATTAAGTTGCTTTAAAATGCAATCTGTAATGCTTTCAGCAGAAAGACACTCTAAATTAATGATTCCTATTAAATTTTCTTGGATTTCTCCAAAAAAATATAGCGAATTATTATGCTCAGGTTTTCACAACCTGAAGCTTCTTTTGTCTCATCAGCCTTAAGACAAAAAAAAGACATCTCGCTTTTATTATATTTGTCTGAAATATGTTCAAGCACCATATCTGCCATAATGGATATTACTTCGTTTTGAATCTGTGGTGATGTATACTGGGCATTTTGGGGTATAAATTTCATAATTTTATTTAATTCAGGGTCTTTTTGGATGGTGTAGGAAAACATTGCTATAAATAGCCCAGAAGAATAAATTATGTTTTCATCTTTTGCAGCATCCGTAATATTTGTTGAACCAGTCCCACGGAAAGGTAGCTCTTGTATGCTAAGAAATAGCATCAAATCAAATATTGATTTAATATAATATTGATTACGATTAATTTGATCACCTCCCAACATTTTAGTTATTTCTGTACCTTTGTTTATATTTTAATTTTTATCATAAATGAGCTTTTGAGCTCTCGTGTTTTAGCAGTCCCTTATTGGCAGCTAACGCATTTTTCCAATTTCTGAATCCCGTTTGTTCAAATTCAGCACTTGGATTACACAAGTATTTCCTACATGAAAAACAAAAGGCAGCGTCAGCTTCTACACTATTCTCCAACCAGTCTCGGCCTCTATATCATGATTTTTGAAATGATCTTTGCCTTCCATGGATATCTTTTTTCGCGTAATTGTTTAATTTGATTTGATTTGGTTTATTCTGGCCAAGGTCACTTGGGATTCGAATTGAACCATTAGAGGACTTTTTTGACACTAAAAATATTATAATTAATAAATTGTAATGAGGGAAAGGGTCATAAATAATAATGGTCATCAGGATGGGCGAAGGAAAAGCATGCTGAAAATGAACAAACATAAAATTTATCTTGTATTTAAGATACAAGTATTTGCTATACTGTAGTGCCCAACCCTGATGAAGATTATCAGTAAAATTATAGATATTCAGTATTAAAAACTAGAAAAAGGTCATAAACATTATATCTTTAAAGATTAACAAAAAATATAATATTCTTATATTTATAAATCAATTACTAGTTGCCTCTTGACAATGAGAGACTGAGCTGCTAGATGAAGATGATTGAGTCTCTTCTTCGCCTTTGTTTGTTTTAAAATTAAAATGTAATAATGAAACACCATAATCTCTTACTCCTATTGATATTGTCAAAAATATATAAATAGAAAAATTTGGGTTAAATTTTAAACTATTTATTATCTTCCTCCTCCTGAGTGTAGTGAGGACCATTTTTTAGATTATTAGCTTCATTCATATCTTGAAATATGAGTGAATATATTTATTTTTAAAATTATTATACAAAAATGATAATATTAATAATAAATATCTGTCTCTTATCTTATATAAAATAAATATATATGAAATAATAATATATAGGTATTGCCCTATATCAATATCATATAAGTCATGAAATAATAATACAAACATTTTCTGAAATTTCTGATGTTTTATACTAACTATGAGAAGAATCATTTTCTGAAATTTCTGATGTAGTATTACTAGTAGTTTGTAGAGGTGATGTTGCTTGACATTTGTTTAACTTTAACTTAAAATAAGAGCTAATAACTGATTGTTTCTTCATAATTTAATAAACGGCTGTAAAGCTAAAAAATAACTGGTTGTATATCTATCATATAAATGTGATACCTATAGAGAACGTTATATACAACAAAAAAAATAAAATAAACGCTGTAAAATAAAATAACTGGTTATATATTATAATATAAATGTGATACCTATAGAGAATGTTATATACAACAAAAAAAAAATGGAAAAAAAAGGAATGAATGATAATTTAATATTGGGTAAAAATAAAACAGGATAGAAAATTTACAAAATATTGGTAAAAATAAAACAGGATAGAAAAAATTTTTACAAACTAGACATGTTTGTAGAATATTTACAAACTAGACATGTTTGTAGAATAAATATTCAAAATTTATTTTAAAAATATAAAAATAATTGGGTAAAAATAAAACAGGATAGAAAATTTTTTACAAACTGGGCATGTTGTAGAATAAATATTCAAAATTTATTTTAAAAAATATAAAAATAATCAATTCTAAATAGATATGTTTTTAGAATATCAATTCTAAATAGATATGTTTTTAGAATATTTTTGAATAAATATTCAAAATTTATATTAAAAATATAAAAATAATCAATTCTAAAAAAAAATTCAAATTTGGGGGGGGGGGGCAAAAAAATTTTTTTGGGGCTACTTTTATGGGCCAAAGATTTTTTCTGGGGGCCAGATTTGGGGGACAAAAATTTTTTTGTGGGGCCGGTCCCCCTGGGCCCCCCCCTACCCCACCCCCGTGGCTACGGCCCTGTGCTAGTACATATTTTGAATTAATTGAAAGTATTGTCGTGTTGACCACAAGAATTAGTGAAACGTATAAATTTAAATACGTAATAAATAACTTGTTTTTACATTGAATTCTCAATACCAAATATAAAAAACAGATGAGTTTATTTTTTAATATTTATTTATCAAAAATTAAAAAAATTGTCTAAAATAAAAATTTTTAAAACTTTATACATACCTTTTTATGTATTGTTTTCGTAGACCTACGTCTAAATAATGAATGAATTAAATAGCGATTATTATTTTTTTTTAGCTATTTACAATTAATATTTCTATAAAATGACAGCTGATTTATATCTTGTCAATAATTTACGTATCAGATCGGTAACTTTATTTGTGATATTTTTACGTGCTAGATAAGACAAGACAAGATTGCTATGGAAGATAAAATATTAAAAACTATTAATTCTTTCGAAACCATTGAAACACTGGAAATAGCTAGGTTATTAAATGTTGATCATCAAAAAATTATTGGCTTTATTAAAAGCTTGGAGTCATTTACAAAAGTTTTAATCATTGCTTTTATTTTATAACTACCATTTAATTAAGTTTATAAATGTTCAACCCATGTCATGTAAAAATATAACATTGACTCCTGAGGGTCTAGAAATAGCTCAGAATGGTAGTTATGAAGCAATTTTATATAATTCGATACCATTAAATGGGATTTCACAAAAAGATCTAATGGTATTTATTTATAGTAATTAATCAAATAATGTAATTTAGGAAAATGTCAAAAATTATAAAATTGGGTTTAGTAAAGCAATGTCATTTGGATGGATAAAACTTGATAAATCAAATGAACCTACTATATATAGACAAGTTAATAATTCTATAATATTTTATTCTTTATAAAATTATTAACTTTACTAGATATTATCTATTTTATATATGTTTTTTCAATTAGAGACATAATTATATAACTTTCATTATAAAATAAAATATATAACTTTGGCGTAATTACCTAAAAAGTATAATTAATTCCAAAATATAATTGCTTAAATATTTTATAATTTATTTTTTACACTTCTCAAAAATGTTAATTAAGTACTAATTATTAATTATATGTAATCATGATTTTATTTCTTTTCAAAATTAATTGCCCACCCCCAGAGTGGGGCAGGTCCTCCAGAAAATAATTTTAATACAGATACAGATTCTTTATAAAAAAATGAATCATAGATACAGATATTAGTATCTTTTTCAAAATATAAAAGATACTTGTATCTTTTACTTACATAGAGTATCTTAAATACAAGATACTTTTAAATTATCATTACCAATTAAATTAGAATAGTTTATAAAATACAGTTTTTATTATTTATATGTGAAGAACATAGCATACACATATAAGAATGAATATTTGCAAATAAAATATTTATTGATGAATTAATTATAATAACCAGGGATTTTAATATTAATTTTTGCCCATTAATAGCTTAAACAGGGAAAAGAGAGTAGTATATTTAATGGGAGTTGAAGCAAATAAGAAAAAAAAATTAAATCAAATGATTTATTAGAATCTGCAGGTTATTTTCTGTGTTGTTTTAAATATAGCTTATATTTGGAGTATATGGCTAAATGGCATCTCTAAAAAAATATACTAGTTTTATTTATTATCTTTAATAAGTATTTATCATTACTTGTTTGTGATATTTATGTATTTTTTAAATTAATTTTCTAATATGACTTATTAATTCTTGCATTTCTATTATCATATATATATAAATATCATTTAAATCTTTTCAAATTTTTTTTATATATTTCTTGCAAAATCATTAATTATATATAAAAAATATGAAAATAATGTACAACATTATATTATTTAATTATTAAATACATAACAATTTTCTTTAATGCATTTTAAATTGATTAAATTTTGTAAATAAATACTGTAATGTAATTTTACTTATATCATAAATAAATAAAAGTAACTAATAAAGTTAAATTTTACCTTATTATGATTATTTTATTAGAGCCTTTTAAAATTATCTAATATTATATATCAATTGTAGCTTAAATATTTCCTCTAATAAGAACTTGCTAAAATAATTATAAATAAAATATATTAGGGATGTGCATATATTTTTTATCGGATAAGGTCAATATTTCACCCATTTTAAAATATTGATTATCGGTCAATATTATAAAATTTGATCTGATATAAAATGGCTTCTTTAACAAAAATAAAATGTTATAAAATTTAAAAAAATAGTTATATCTAAAATCATTTATTTTTATAAATAAAATCGAAATCCATTTTTATGTATATTTTTTAAATAATAATAATTAATTAATAAACATTTTGCCATATTGTTATTTTTTTGCGTATTCTGTTTATAAAAGTGTGCGATAATTTTTTCAGAATCTGTTTTTAGTGAAGCTGGTGATATTGACAGTTACTATCGCCGCAAGCTGACCTCTGATAAATTGGAAATATTGGTATTTCTAAAAAGAAATCTTCACTATATTAATGTTAAATATTATTTTAAATAGTTATTTCAAATTTCATAATATAATTGTTTATTACTTAATATGTATATAGATTAATGTTATTACTTATTATATAAAAGTGATTTAACAATAAAAATATTTTATATACTTTTAGAATTGCAATTGAATTGAATATAAATTATTAAATGACATAAGTTATGGTATAGTTAAATTATAGATGTTATACTAATAAAAAGTATAAAAAATTAAAATTATTGTTATCTTTACAGAATACAAAATTAGATATGATATCGGATTGGTAATCGGCCGATATCAATTTAATATCGGATCGGATTGACCTCTAAAAAGTGGTATCGGTACACCCCTAAAAAATATATATCCAAAATGATTTAAATTTGATAATCAGCCATCTTCTATAAAAAAATTTAATAACAATTATCTAAGAGGGACTTAAGTATAGGTATTATTATGTTAATAATTATAAAATAAAAATGTATAATATACTTTAGTATGTTTAACAAAGTTTGTAGAGGAGTTTGTTGAACCTTTAATAACTTTTTTACTTCTACAATTTTGACATTCGGCCTGTACCTTGTCCTTTTTCACATGAATTACTTTATAAAATTTTCCATCTAGAATTTTAAGATTCGGATTTGATTCAGGAGAACCTATCTCCATAATTTCATCTTCACTTCTATAAATGTTAAACATTCTACAAAATAAAAAATATTACATATAAAATATAACCTTTACTTATTTAGTTTTGGTGTTGTTATTGTTAATCTATCTATCTTTGTAATCTGTAAAATTTCCAACTAATTTTGGTTATCAATATATTTAAAATATAGCAGGAAAAAATAAAGAAAATAATACAAGATTTCACGAAGAAAATAAAGTTACATTGTGTGATATGTAAATGTTTTAAACATGAATATTAAAAAGAATCTGTATCTGTATCTTTTTAAAGAAAAGGAAAAAGATACAAGATTCTTTTCAAAATAAAGGATCTTAGATACAGATACTAGTATCTTATTAAAAATGTCAATAAGATACTGAGTACAAGTACGAAAGGATCTTGTATCTTAGCCCCACTCCTTAAATTAAAAAAAAATATCTTGGTTTTGGAAAATATTTTTTGGATAAATTTTTTAGAAATAAGAATATAATTGGAGAAAAATAACTGTTGCTCAACCCATTATTGGTTTTAAATTTTTTTTTTATTTAAAAATAATAAATATGTAATTGTGTGGATATGGGTGGAAATTTTTTGATGTAATAATAATTCAAAGCTTCATTACTCAAAAGTTTTAAGAATTTTATATTTTTTTCTTGTGAAAATTTTTACAATTCTTCATTTTACATTAAAAATAGAGTATATTCTTTTTAAAAATTAAAAAAGCGTGTGCTATACTGGATGCTACTAAGTTAGGACTATTAAATCAAATACTAGATAATTAGGCAATTTATTTGAATAAACATAATATATAAACAATGATAATATAGATATATATAATTTTAACGAAAAACAAAATAGTTCTATATAAATTTATATCTTTTAAAAATTTAATTAATTTCTTAAATTTGACATTTTTAACGAAAATAAGAATATTCACTTATATATAAATGAGAGGAAGATTTTCTTCCAATTCTGGGGATGCTCACTTTAAGACCCCTCCATAAACGTACGTTGAGTGTCGATATATCATTTGGGTCTATAGCTCGAGTAATTATCATATTCATAATATATTTAAAAAAAATAATATTAAAAATTTCCCCGAGTTTTAGTGACTTATTAAACATGTATACTGAAATACCTAATATCGCCAACTGCTTCCCATATTGTAATGAGGAAGGAGAAAATGTAAATATAGTTAATTTAATGGATTAAGATAATGATCAAGGTACCAAGATTCAGAGTAAGGAAAGTGACCCTGAGTTTCCAAAAACAAATTGGAGAGGTAAGGTTTTGTAGTTATTCTTATTGCAAATATTTTACATCTAATTTAAATCTAATATTACCAAATATGCCAAAATACATCACTCAAAAAGACTGTTACTAATAATGGAAGAAGATTTTCTTTAAAGTTTTATAAATTGAAGCTGAAGCAGTTTTTTGCTTTCCTTGTAGGATCTATAACTTAAACAATGATATATCAATCTATATCCAACTGGGTCTTACCAACTGGAAAAACGTTTTTGAATAAAGGGACCTTGAAAAACGGTGTTTATCATTTCATGCTTACTTGCTAATTAGATAACTTGTATTTTACATACCGCCTGACTTTCATTTTCCACATTTACTAATTGAATATTATCTTCTTAATAAATAATTATGGGTTTATGAAACCCATATTTTGAGGTCTCTTTAATCGCTGAGCTGGACGAATATTCACTTTTTCCTAGGGAATTCAGAAATCAAACTTGGCGCATTCCAATTTTTCTTCTCATGTCATAATTTTATATCAAATCTTCTTCTGAGAATATTTTTAAAGACTAGTCAGGAAGCAATACTTTATCACGAATCAATTAGGAAAATTATTATTCTATTGTTTTTCCCAATTTCTGAATCACAATAATAGCAGTTTAATCATCAGAGATTACATGAATTAAGCCCTGAGACTGGAGCCATTTAATTCGAGAACCTACCTATGATCTGAATTGTGTCAGGTTCTGGTGTGATGAGCTTTGGCCTTATAAAAGAACTATAAAAATATTATCAAAAAATGGTCTAAATTACAATTTTTGAATTGTATAAACTGTGCTTTGATAGATTTTTTATTTTCATATCTATGCTATCATAAGGCCGGCGATCCATGCATAAAAAATCACTAAGCTGGACAATTTACACATAAAAAATCAGGCAGGGCCGCGAGATTATTATTTAATAAATTATTATTAATGGGAAATCCCTAATTTGGGACGCTACCTGTGCCTCTTCCTTTCCCTCATCAATTAATTCAAATCCTCTTACTAATGGCGAAAATAAAAAAACCAATAAATACTCAACATTAAATAATTTTATTTTTCAACCCATAGTCATCTCAACTAACGGTAATTTCTCCCAATCAACATATTCATTTTAAAAATTTTAGCACATAAAATTTTTAACATAACAAACGAAAAACGCGAGTCAATCTTCCTAAAACAAAAAATACAATTAGAAATTTTTAAACATAATTATACATGTTTTTTAGGTACATTTTTACTATAAGCTCTTTTTAGAGCCATCGATATTTTTAAAATTTACACTCATTTTTAATATATGATTTGTTTTACTATTTGTTTATATATATAGTTTTCTCACATTTTATATACAATTTTCTATATTAAAGGTAGATAGTATTGTAGATCAAGTCCAACAATGGTTGCTTAAAATAAAAGATTCAATTGTGGAAGATATACCATCAAATTTAAAACATGAATTTAAAAGAAGGAAATTAATTACTGAAAACTTGGTAAAAAGCTATAGAGTTAGTAAAGGCTTAGAATTTAAACTTAAAATTGATAAAGAAATTACTGATTTATCTCCAGAAATGATTGAAGGGTAAATTATATTATACCATTCTTATACAATTGCAAAATTTAGGGATTTATGGAAAGATGTTACATTTAAAAAATACAATTTTAAGGCATTAGGTGTTTCCCCAAGTTCTGGCCATTTTCACCCACTAATGAAAGTGAAGACTCAATTTAGACAGATATTTTTAGAAATGGGGTAAATTTTTCTGAAATATAATATAACACATTTTTTTAAAAAGATAGCTTATTGAATACCATAACCCGAAGCTTAAAACCAGGGCTTAGAACCCGCGTTTTCTACTTGATTCAGTTCGGGTTCAAAACCAGATTAAAATCTTGAACCCGGTTTGGTTTAAGATGGATTCGGCAAAAATAGATCCTGTTTAGGTTCCGAAACGTCATTCAAATCTTAAAAATATCATTTTAAGATTTAAATACTTAATTTTTTTTTAAAATATCAATCAAATTTTAAATATAACTTAATTCTAGGTTTGCTTGTGGCCTTTCTGTATTACTAATCTCCATTTTCCTTGGGGTCCATTTATCCAAAAATATAGTAAAATATAAATTTCACCCAGAAATGAACAGGTATTTGCACTGACAAATCTCAAAAAAGATAATATCCCATCCACTCTTGAAACAGTGGGCTACGCCCGGTGGGTATATCCCTTAACCACTGAATGAACATTCTCCCACTGACCTGGGACTGCACTTGTATTGATTTTGCAGCGAAGTCTAATCTCACATTTTCTGCCATATGCTGGCCTCACAAACACAGTATTCATACCAATCTTTGCCAACACCTTAGGCATGTTCGGAAATGAGGCCCTTAATTTTATCAAAACCATAGGAAAAAGGAGATTACAGGCCACCCCAATGAAAGATTCTTCCTTCGATTGGTCCAAATTTCCTAAACATTCACTCTAGGGCTTTTTTTTATAGTTCTTTTTAATGTTTATATATTTTTTTTCATACAATTCTTAATATAATTATTTTGATACGTTATGTTTTTTTTTATTTCTAAAATGAAATGTTTTTTAAATAAAAAAAAAAAAAATTCCTTCAAATTTTTATTTAATTTTTTTTCTTTAAATTTTTAAATTTTATTTTAAAGACAAATTATTCGAAGAATTCGCCTTATTCGAATCGAATAACTATTTATTCATATTCGAGCAATCGAGCAAAACGGATAATTTACTTTTCGATTCTAATTAATCGAAACTAATCTAACATTATGATTAGGTTTCCATTTAAGATGATTATTTTTATTTTGCGATATCTAGATCTAACAGCATTATGGAAGCATAAGTCTATTATCTCATAAATGAAGCTTTATTTTATATATTTTACTTTAGATTTTTAAAACAATGGCACTTTAATTATTTACCCAACTCGCACGTCCCTAAAATTGCTACAAATGTCTAGATATTTTAGTTACTAATGGTAGTTTATTTTAAGAATATAATTTTAAAAAAGATAGATTTTGGACCTGATTTTATTAACCAAATTTAAATACAATTTTTCTAATATAACTAAATGAATATTTTATTTATACTAGTTTTTCTGAAATGGCTACGAATAATTATATTGAAAGTTCATTTTGGAATTTTGACGCATTATTTCAACCTCAAAACCACCCAGCTAGAGATGAACACGACACCTTCTTTTTAAGCGGTTATTATGTTTGATTTTTAAAATATATTTTATTACTTATATATTTACAGATCCAAAAAATTGCTTAGACATACCTCTTGAATATTTAAAAAAAGTTAAAAAGATTCACACACATGGAGGCTTTGGATCTTTAGGGTATGCATAAACTGTTCATACTTATTAATATATTGTTATAAAACAATTTAAAATAATTATATCAGAGATGTACCACACCATATTTTTGCTGATACTACCGATAGCGATACAATTTTATTGTATATGGTATATATTGAAAAAATCTAAAAAATAATAAAAAACTCTACATTATTATCATTTTTATTTATTTCCAATAATCATAAAATAGAGACTTTTCAACTCTTCTGACTAATTTTTAGAAATTGGTAGGTATAATCCCTTTATTGAATACAAGTGTTTGGGATAAAACTGGCTATGAATATCAGGATGCGATTCCAAATGCCAATCTTTGTCTGTTGCTATTTGATGAGGAGTTGAGGGTGATAATAAGATTGGGACTAGGTTGTGATATATGTCTCATCAATGTAATGGATTTAGGAAAGAGTGCGCCCAATGGCAGACCTGGTATAGCTTGCTTGTATTATAAAGGGCGCAGTCACCACTGAAATATTGATAATAATTTTGAATAAATTTGGCTTAGCTAATTACCCAAATCGTCTCTAACCATTTCATCTATCCATACCGGATGGCATTATAAATATCCATCTTCTTAGCCAAATATTAATTCGATTATAACAGCTGAAAGGTCAAAATTTAGTTTGTTAATAATTTATCAGTGATTTTTTAAATTCATTCTTATAATAACATAATTTTAACTATTAAAAAGTACATCATTTTGAATAATTGCTATAAATGTTATTTCAAAAAAGAAACGCGGCATAATTTGATACGTTTGAAAAAGGAATTGCTACTATTCAAAAAAGTAATTCGTTACTTAAAAAACACTAGGGATTATATATAATTTTTTTTACTGCTATAGATAATTAACAATAATCTATTTTCGAAAAATTTGATTAGATAAATAAGAGCTTTAGTGCTCAACACAGCAACACACGTTCAACTGGCAGAGGATGGGAGGGTTGTATTATATTTAATAATTTAATTGGTGTAATTTGTTAAAATAGGTATTATAAATTAACATACCCTGATTGATTCAATATTAATTAGATTATTATAAGACTCAAAAAATTTGTATAAATGTTCCTTAGAGCCATAGCTATAAAAAAGATTAATGGAAGTTTATAGCTTAAAATTCACGCAATAATAGTTTTCAAAGTTTCTATGAGTAAAATGGTTAAAATGTTTGGTCTGAAGCTGTAAAAGATAATTATTAAATATTAACATATACATATACCATATAAAAAGATACATTTGTGCAAAAAGGAACATTGATAAATAGTTTGTCATTTGGAATAAAATTTTTTAAATAGTCGCAAAGGGGAAAAATAATTGTAATGTACGATGTGCCTAAAATGAGCACATTCAAATGCTATTTTTGATATAATTTTTTACATTCCGGTATTGTATTGATACGTTTGTACAAAAAGTGATAAATAATGTCAAAACTGCAATATTTTGTTCAATTAAACAATATAGTTATGTTCAATTTTATTTTAACCACTTCACCTTATGTATGGGGAAAAATGGCGAAAATGACACTGATAATTAATCACAGCTTCTAAAGTTTTATAGGTAGAAATCTGCACTTTTTAAAATTTTGTTTATGAGGGATATGAACTCGGCAAAAATATTAAGCGAGTTCAGTTTGGGTTTGGTTCAGGTAAAAAAAATTAAGTGAGTTCGATTTGGTTCAGGGGAATATTTTTGAACCGGGGACAATTCAAAAACTAGGTATAAATTTGGTATAAAAATAAAATGTTTTTTTTTATTTATAGGCAAATATATTTAAAATTACAAAGCATAGTCATGCATCAATTTAAAAATTTTATTTACCTATTAGCATATCTTCCAAGAGTTGTTCGCTCTTCCTCGATCTATGCGATGAAAGATTGAATTTCGTGAAAAAGATTTTTCAACGTTTATTAAATATATATGAATATGAAAATTCAAAAAATTAACCGGAGTTACAGGAACAACAAATAAGATTTTGTATAAAATATTTAAATCAGGATGCTGCAGCTTAGCAGACTACCAAAAATGTAAAATATTTTTATCCAATCTTTTAGAATCTTTAAATCCAGTAATTATCTCCTATACTTTTCTCTGCAATTGTTGGCCCTCTTTTAAGTATTTTCTCCTGCCTTTATTTATTTTGAACCAATCTCTAAATCTTCTTGTTCAATGACTTTATTGGAACTATTATCATCAGATAAAATGGGGGCGTGGATATTGTTTTAATCCGACTCTATATATTAGCAAATGTCTTTTTATCTCATCATCATCATTAAGTAATATCTATAATATTTAAGGATTTAAACAAATGCCTTTTTATCTCATCATCATCATTAAGTAATATCTATAATATTTATGGATTTATATCGTTTATATTTAAATAAATTGAAAATATTAAAAAATCTAATTTAAAATATTAATATTTGTTATGATTTTAAATATAAAATTAACTGATCCCGTTTGAACCCGGGTTCAAAAAAATCCAGTGTTTGGTTTCAATTTTTGGATTAGACTACATATAAATATAGTTCTGTTTTGTTATTGTCTCAAAAGTTTATAATAAAAATGTCGTTGGTCTCCCATATTTAAGAAAAAATTTAAAGTAACGTTTTGCGTTACCGTTACTCAAAAAACGCGTTACTCGTACCTTTTGGAACAAGTAACGAATGGCGTTTCTTTTTCTAAAAAAAGAAATTAACATTTACATTTTAAAATTCTCGCAATTATATACGTCCAACCCAATTTCGTAAATTTCAATAATAAATTAATTTAAAAAATTTTTGACTTGGGACCTACCCAAACCTAGAGCTTACAATAATTATATTTGGCTAAATTATAAACAGGTTGTGGAAATTTTCAAAAAACAATAATTACGTTTTAAAAAAATTTATAATTTTTACATTTATTTATCATTTTTTAAAAATTTATTTTATTTATCAATTAATATAAGTCAGCACAAAATTTATATACGTGAAAAAAAAAAAATTCCAAATTCAATAATATTAAGGTGAAATAAAGTGTAAAATGATGAATAAGGAAGAAAAAGTGAATCTAGCGAAGGTCTATGGAGAGAAGACTGTCATTGAAACTTTGATAATTTTCTTTAAGGATAGCTATAGTCAGTTTCTGTCTGAAGAAGAAGCCTTCTCGCGGATCGCCAGTATGCTTGCGGATGTGAGATCTCCTTGCAGTAGGATAATGCAAGTTTTCCTAAAAAGATTTAGGTAGTGGGTATTATTGGGATAAAAATGTGATCTTTTGATATTTCCGAATATTTGGAAATTTTATATTGTTCTTTTTTACTAAGGCAGTTTGGAGTTTGGTTGGATAAAGCGAATGGATCTATACAAGAATACAAACCAGAAATTGGCCCCGTTTTCATGGGATCAGGGTGATTCCGTCATGCCACTTTCCATCGGATCTAAAAAGTCCTGGTGGTTCAAGTATAGCGGTATTTGGGTGAATTTCATTGCAAGATGATCAAGGAATTTCATTGGGTGTGCCTCAATGTTAGCTGTGCCTTCCTTTGCAGTCTATGGGGATTCTGCAGCCAAAACAAAGTGAGGAGGATTCCTATTGCGTGGGTTAGCTTGTTGGTTAGTTGAAGTTGAAGATTTTTGGAAGGAATAACTTTCAAAAATTTATGCCCGGATCCAATAAATAAAGAAGTGAAGAGAAAACGGTCTGTTGGGAGCATGCTAGATAATAGGGATTCTTTTGAGGTGTGGGATGTGATTGTGGGCTTCGAGAGTAGACTGCCTGAAATAAAGGCAGTGAGAACACAATCGGTGGGAAATCTAATCCCTAATCCACCGCTTTTGGAGGTAATGAAGCTTAAGCCCATGCTGTTTTATTGAATTTTGAGAGCTATAGGATTTTAAAAATAGGCGTTGAGCGCAGAGTATAAAGTGTACGTGACATGTTAAAGAAGTTATTAAGGAGGAAGAATGATTTATGCGATGTTAGCAAGTCAAGGAGGTCACCAAACCTAAGTATATCAAGAGTAGAGTGGAGGAAAGCACTGATTGCTGTGAATCCGTCTACTGGGAACCTAGATGTGTTAGCTCCAATTTTGAAATTATGGGGATTTTGATCTGAGGAGTTTACTTGCACAAATTCGGATTTTATGGGGTTGAGGATGAAACCAACAGCGCATCGCATTTCCTTGATAATGTGTGCGACCTTATTGGTTTTTAATTAAGGTCCACTAATTATTCCGTCGTCTATATACCAGACGTGGAGGGAAAGTGAGCATTCTGAATTAATGGTTTGAATTATATTATTGATTGCAGATAAAATAGAAGAAATTCCAATGGATAACCTTGTTGGATGTCCTCGGCTGAGAGTACTTTATGAGAGTTAATTGCAAAATTGATCGAAATTGGTAATAAGAATATAGAGAAATTTGGTGCAGCTTGGGAATGATGTGCTCGCTGATTGCAGGAATGAGTTATGGGAGAAGGTGTTGTACGCATTAGCAAATCTAAATAAAGACGAGATGTACAGAAGCCTCACATCCGCCAATTACTTCTACCTTTAATTGAAATGGGGTGAGAAGGTGAGAGGCCTCATGTTTTATCCTGAATGTCATCATTTTATCGACAAGGCGGCGGAAAGTTGAACCAATGGCTATTTGTCTCATAACTTTGTTAGGTTTAAGTTTGGCTCCAAAAAGGATTGATGAGACAAAGCTGGGAACATCACCTTATAAATTTGGTTGCACAAGTTTGTGATTTTAAGAGGGATGGAAGTTTGTTAGCTGATCAATGGATAAATTGCTTCCGAGAGGAATGTGGGTCTAAGAGTTTTGGTGGAAAGATATGATTGCCTTTCTTACTTCTGAAGTGAAATGGAAGTACAATGAGAATAAGGTTGTTGGGTGATTGGTGTTGAAGTGGAAAAAGGGTGTTTTGAAAGGAATATGTCTCATCTGAGTGATTTGCTAATGAATCATAAGAAGAGGCCAATTTGAGAGCACCTTTAATATTTAAACAGTCGATTTTCTTTGAAATAAGTTTGTTAAGCTTAATAGGAGAAGCTTTTTTATGTTATAAAAAATTGTGGGACCCTTCATCTCTTGGAGATGGGGAGAAACGTTGCAAGGCGTCTTTAATTTGTTGAGTTAAAAAAATTTGAGGATATATCAGGTAACCTAAAGGTATTATAACCAAAGAATAGTAATTTAAACAATTAAATACCTTCAAAAAATGCATTTAAATATAAATACTTTGCACAAATAAATACTTTGACTATTATTTTTTGCGTCAATTTTTTTAGACCGCTATCAATTTTTTTAACTTAAATAATAATTTTATTATTAACCATTTTCTAAAATTATCGAAATTGGTAGTAATACAAACATTACAAATAGTATATTGTTGTAAATTATGTAATAGTGGTAAATATAATTAATATCGCCGTTTTGCAGAGAGTATAATAAATTTTTGGAGGATAAAATTGCTTTATTTATGATTTTGGTTTTATTTTTAGTTGAGCATTTAGATAATTACATCTAGCTTTCACTATATTTTTGATGTTTTAAAAAAATTGTCAAATTACATTTAGAAGATGTTGATCTTGTCATAGAATCTAGGCAAAGATATCTTATAAACATAATAGCTTAATATAGAAGCTCCCTTCCTTCAATTACTATATCTTCGTCATCTTAAAAATTTGTATTTTCAATTTTTCACTAATACTTTTAAAAATAAATAGGATTAAAATAAAAGTTATTCAATTTTTAGCTAACTCGGATCACAAATTTAATATTATAAATAAATGTGAATTTACATGTAATAAATTAATTTATAATAAAAAATAAAGAAAATATTTTTATTTCGTGAAATCATAATAAATTGAAAATACTTTTTTTTTTAGGTGAAATACAATCTTAATTTTAGAATATAATAAATTATAATTAATAATATTTAAAAAAATACTAACTTTTTAAAATATTCAAATAAATGTGAATAAAAAAATTTATTTAGTATTTAAATACAAGTATTCGCGTTATGGCCTAACTCTCTGGTTATCGCATTTTAAAAATAGGGGTTTTCCAATAAGCTGATTTTTGGTTCGAATTTTAAGATACTAGTGAAGGGTAATGAAGCTCTTACTGGTTATTTTTATTTTGGATATCGCTTAAAATGGAAAGTATCGGCGATACCGTAATTATTGGTGCATCTTTGATTAATATGATTTAATCATTCATTTTTTTCTATTAATTAAAGTTATCAATATGACTGGAAAACTGAAGAGGCTCAAAAAAACATTTTAAGAACTCATACAACTGCTGCTAGCACAAGAATTTTATATAAATTAGCTCAAGTTTTCTTTTTCACATTGAATTATTATTTAACATCCATCTCATTTTCAAAATAAGTATCTCTATCTCCAAAAGTCGAATTGCTTACTTACTTAAAACCCCTGGAAATTATGTGTCCCTTTTATTTTCGAGAATATTTCATCCAATCTTTTTCTGCGATTCACACCTTGTAGCTTTCCTATTTATTTTGAGATAATTAGGAAGGTTTAGGTTGTAATAAACGAGGTTTTAACCCGCCTGTTCATTTTTTATAAAAAATCTGCCCGCTCATTTACTTAATTTTTTTAGCCTGCCCGTCAAATGTTTAGAAATTATTTGATTAGTTGTTTTGGCTCTTTGTTTATTTTAATTTATTTTTACTTAAACTTTACGCTGTATATGAAATAAAAAATTATTTCTTTAATAAAGATAAGCCTTTCCTTCTCATTCCTTCGGTAAAATAATACAATAACCTTCCCACTCATTGTTTTAAAAATATTTTCACTCGCTAGCCCCATGTTTAAATATTATGGCCCTCATAGCCACACCTACCTTACTATGGGTGGGCAAAAACTTGCCCAACGCAGGCCTCTAAACAAAGCCCTGCAAACTCAATTATTTTTAAAATTTTTATTAATTTTTAAGTTTGGTCAAATTTTTTTATTTTTGGCTCGGCCCAGCTCGAATTGAAAAATAATATATGAATTATTTTTATGAAAATAAATTAGTAAAAATCACTAATTGCTTTCTCTTTATAACAGATAAATTCTAATTATCATTTTATTTTGATAAAACAAGAGAAAACCATTTTCTATATTATTTTTTAAATGTATTTTTTAGGGGTGTACCGATACCACTTTTTGGAGGCCGATCCGATTCGATATTCCCGATATTAAATTGATATCGGCCGATTACCGATCCAATATTATGTAAAGATACCAATGGTTTTAATTTTTAATATACCTTTTATTAGTATAACATCTATATTTAACTCAGTGGCGTAGCTACGGGGGGGGGGGGGGTCCAAGTAATTTTTTTTTAGGTTATACGCAGAGTTGGGCAGTACCACGAATACTTGTATCTAAGATACAAGATCCTTTTGTATCTTGTACTCAGTATCTTATTGACATTTTTAATAAGATACTAGTATCTGTATCTAAGATCCTTTATTTTGAAAAGAATCTTGTATCTTTTTCATTTTCTTTAAACAGATACAGATTCTTTTTATATTCTTGTTTAAAACATTTACATATCACACAATGTAACTTTATTTTCTTCGTGAAATCTTGTATTATTTTCTTTATTTTTCCCGCTATATTTTAAATATATTGATAACCAAAATTAGCTGGAAATGTTATAGGTCACAAAGATAGATAGATTAAAAATAACAACACCAAAACTAAATAAAGGATATATTTTATATGTAATATTTTTTAATTTGTAAAATGTTTAACAATCATAGTAGTGAAGATGAAATTATGGAGATGGGTTCTCCTGAATCAAATCCGAATCTTAAAATTCTAGATGGAAAATTTTATAAAATTCATATGAAAAAGAACAAGGTACAAGCTGAATGTCAAAATTGCAGAAGTAAAAAAGTTATTAAAGGTTCAACAAACTCCTTTACAAACTTAAACATATTAAAGTATATTATATTTTTATTTTATAATTATCAACATAATAATACCTATACTTAACTCCCTCTTAGATAATTGTTTATAAATTTTTTTATAGAAGATGGTTGATTACAAATTAAAATCATTTTGGATATATATTTTTTAGGGGTGTGTCGATACCACTTTTCGGAGGCCGATTCGATATTCCCGATATTAAATTGATATCGGCCGATTACCGATCCGATATCATATCTAACTTTGTATTCTCTAAAGATACCAATGCTTCTAATTTTTAATATACTTTACTAGTATAACATCTATAATTTAACTATACCATAACTTATGTCATTTAATAATTTATATTCAATTCAATTGCAATTCTAAAAGTATATAAAATATTTTTATTGTTAAATCACTTTTATATAATATAATAACATTAATCTATAAACATATTAAGTTATAAACAATTATATTATGAAATTTGAAATAATTATTTAAAATAATATTTAACATTAATATAGTAAAGATTTCTTTTTAGAAATACCAATATTTCCAATTTATCAGAGGTCAGCTTGCGGCGATAATAACTGTCAATATCACCAGCTTCACTAAAAACAGATTCTGAAGAGAATCTCGCACACCTTTATAAACAGAATGCGCAAAAAAATAACAATATGGCAGAATATTTATTAATTAATTATTAAACATAATAATTTTCTTTAATGCATTTTAAATTGATTAAATTTTGTAAATAAATACTGTAATGTAATTTTACTTATATCATATATAAATAAAAGTAACTAATAAAGTTAAATTCTACCTTATTATAATTATTTTATTAAGAGCCTTTTAAAATTATCTAATATTTTTATATATCAATTGTAGCTTAAATATTTTCTCTAATAAGAACTTGCTAAAATAATTATATATAAAATATATTAGGGATGTGCCGATTTTTTTATCGGATCGGATCTGGCTGGTTTCACCCATTTTAAAATATCGGTTATCTGCCAATATTATAAAATTTGATCCGATATAAAATGGCTTCTTTAACAAAAATAAAATGTTATAAAATTTAAAAAAAAATTATATATAAAATCATTTATTTTTATAAATAAAATCGAAATCCATTTTTATGTATATTTTTTTAATAATAATTATGTATTTAATAATTATAATATAAAGTTGTACATTATTATGATATTTTTTATATATAATTAATGATTTTGCAAGAAATATATAAAAAAAATTTGAAAAGAGATTTAAATGATATTTATATATATGATATTACAAACGCAAGAATTAATAAGTCATATTAGAAAATAAACTAATTTAAATAATACATAAAATCACAAATAAGTAATGATAAATACTTATTAAAGATAATGAATAAAATAAAACTAGTATATTTTTTTTAGAGATGCAATTTAGCCATATACTCCGAATATAAGCTATATTTAAAACAACACAGAAAATAACCTGCAAATTCTAATAAATCATTTGATTTAATTTTTTTTTCTTATTTGCAAATTTTCAACTCCCATTAAATATACTACTCTCCCTTCCCTGTTTAAGCTATTAATGGCAAAAACTAATATTAAAATCCCTGGTTATTATAATTAATTTATTAATAAATATTTTATTAATTATTGCAAATATTCATTCTTATATGTGTATGCTATGTTCTTCACAAATAAATAATAAAAACTGTATTTTATAAATTATTCTATTTTAATTAGTATTTATAATTTAAAAGTATCTTGTATTTAAGATACTCTAATTTAGTAAAAGATAAAGTATCTTTTATCTTGTATCTTTTTGATATTTTGAAAAAGATACTAGTATCTGTATCTAAGATTCATTTTTTTATAAAGAAACTGTACCTGTATCTAGATTCTTTTTCTGGAGGACCTGCCCAACTCTGGTTATACGTTAAAAATACTCAAAATATAATATTTATAATTAAAGCAATATAATATTTATATTTTAAATAATCGCCATTTATTTGTAAATTGATTTCTATAAAAGTATAATAAATTGAAAGGTATATCTATAAAAGTATATAAATTGAAAAATGTGTTATTTTAATTAAAATTAGTGTTGTTAATGGCTCAATTTGAGCCGATATGGCTAACTCAATATATTAGCCAGAAAATTATGCAAGCCTGAAAATTTTGCTCATGGATGATTCAAAAGGTTTAGACATTATTCGTGAAATCTTTAGGCTTTAGCAATATTTTTTTGGCTAAAATATTGAGTTAGCTGTTTATAAAAATCGGCTCATATCGAGCCTTTTAACAACTCTAATTAAAAGGATCAATAATTCTAGGACTTTTATATTATAATAAAAACAAATATGATTTTTAAGATAAACCAGGCCGAAACCCCCCCCTCCCCCCCCCAGGCTTTTATATGTATGGACACCCTCTAAGGAAAATTCCTAGCTACGCCACTGATTTAACTACATTTATGTCATTTAAATATAATATAATGATCAGTGTTAATATTCAATTCAATTGCAATTCTAAAAGTATACAAAATATTTTTATTATTAAATCACTTTTATATAATAAGTTATAACATTAATCTATATACATAATAAGTAAACAAATATATTATGAAATTTGAAATAAATATTTAAAATAATATCTAACATTAATATATCGAAGATTTCTTTTTAAAAATACCTAAATTTCCAAATCAGAAATCAGTCTGCGACGATGGTAACTGTCAATATCACCAGCTTCACTAAAAACAGATTCTGAAGAGATTATCGCACACTTTTCTAAACATAATGCGCAAAAAAAAACAATATGGCAGAATGTTTACTAATTAATTATTATTAAAAAAATTAACATAAAAATGGATTTCGATTTTATTTATAAAATAAATGATTTTAGATATGACTTTTTTTAAAAATTCTATAAAAATTTAAAAACGCCATTTTATATCAGATCGGAAAATTTTATTATTGGCCGATAACCGATATTTTAAAATAGGTGAAATATCGGCCCGATCCGATAAAAAATATTGGTACCCCTAATATTTTTCAAGCCCGCCCGATTGATTCGAATGAAATAAATTATTTTTATAATTTGTCGAAAACGAACTATTTAAATATGTCGAATATTCCAATTATTCGTTACTATTCGATTCGTTTTTGAATAGGCCTTTTTTGGACACAGTTTTAGCATATTTATCTCTAAAGCATTATTTAATTTGTAAATTTTTCCCATAAAATCAATGAGATAATAAAGCTAAAAAATGATACATTCTGCTCATGTCTATATTTTGATCCCCGACATCAAATATTGTTATAGAAAATAACCTGATTATAAAACATGTTATTTTTTATATAAATTTTACATGAATTGAGTCACTTGATGATGGATATATAATTATATACAAATTGTTATCCCGATTCCAACAACGATTTTGAATCCTTATTGGATATGAAAGATAATAAGAAAAGTCAAAATTTGTCACACAATATAAAACAAGAGCGATTAATAGGTACTTAAGATCTGCAAAAGTAGTTTAATTGTTAATATAAAAATTAAAATATTTAAAAATTTTTGCAAAAATACAAGGCTCTATACTTTTTATTTGTTTGTGTCCGAGTAAAAAAAAATCTTCATGGATTTGCTTTGCCTAAAGTTTTGAGCCAAAATCTTAAGATCATAAAATTGAAAATTTATTTTAATCATGAAAGATTTTTAATGCATAAAAATCACAAAAAATTTACTTATAAATGATTTTTACAAAAAGGATTAGGAATTTTAGGTAAAATTTGATCTAAAATCTTATTTTAGCATTTTAAAAAAAACCTTAAGAAAAAAAAATTTCTAAGGATTTTTTAGTTTGAAGAGATTTCAAACTATTGTTTGTAGAATGATCAAAAAGCTCTATTATGTTCAGTATATCTATATTGAAAAAAAATCAATTTCTACTTAAATAAATTTGGGCCTCAGAGGTGGATATTTAATTTTTATTTCGGGTCAGGCTTTTCAGGACAAATAAAAAAAATTGCGATAGGGTCGGGCTAAGCATATTTTATAGGAATATGGGCCGGGTTGGAAAATTAGGCTATTATAAATCTGCACAATCGAACGGATTTAAAATCATCGATATTCTTGAATATTGGGAAGGAAGAAAATTAGAGTAATCCGATTTATAACAACTAGCCTATCCCAGATGCACAGATTTAGATTGAAATATTCTCTCCACAGAGAACAATAATGGACTAATATATATAAGATAATATATTAATAATTATGTTGTAATCAGAATTTTATATACGAATAAAAATTGATAATAAAATTCAATTTTTTTCTATTTAATTTGCAAGGTAAAATCTATTTATTATAATGTTATCCATCAGTAAATTAAATATGTTATAAAATCAATTTAGGATAACTTCAAGCCATGTAAATATTTTAGCATTGATAAAGTTTATAGAAATGAAAATTTGGATGCTACACATTTGGCTGAGTTTCATCAAATTGAGGGAATCATCGCAGATTACGACTTAAGCTTAGGTCATCTAATGGGGGTCCTAAAGGAGTTTTATAAAAAACTTGGTTAGTATTTTAACATTACAACGTTTAAAATTTAATTTTTAAGGTTTAACGAAATTAAGATTTAAGCCGACCTATAATCCGTACACAGAACCCAGCATGGAAATTTATAGTTATCATGACGGTTTAAATAAATGGGTAGAAATTGGAAATTCAGGCATTTTCAGACCAGAGATGTTATTGCCGATGGGTTTACCAACTAATATCTCTGTTATCGCATGGGGTTTATCCTTAGAAAGGTTATAAATTTAAAATAAAATATATAAATTTGACATAATTTAATTATAGGGTAAAAATCAGGGCTGTCCATTTGACCGGTCAAATAGGATTCGGTCAATTGACCCATATTTGACCTGTCAAATATGGTCAAATTCAAATAAATGTTTTTTAAGACAATATTAACTATTTTATATATAATGGTAAAAAATGAATCTATATAATAATAATATTTTTTAAGATTCTATAATTATTGTTTCGTTCTCCATAGCAGAGTCTTGTTCAGATTTAATATTCAATTTTATCTTCTTTAATATTTTTAATCAATCTTAGGTTATGATAGACTCTTACCAATTAGCTGGTTGTCGAGATCTTCAATCGATTTCTTTCGTATATACTATCCCACACCGAACAATTTCATTCTAAAAAGAAGTATAACTAGACATTGTTATTAAGATATTAGAAACTTCTTTTAATGTTAAAAGTGAGCAAATCCCATCCCAACAACTTGAGCCCAGATCTCATCGTTTTTATGAAAGTTACCAATTCCCACTTATTTTGGCTATTAAATATGCCCCGCTTTTACTTCTGAAACTTAGGATATCGCTAAAATATTTATTTCGATTATCATCACCTTGTAAAATGTCTAATTCTTTTATTATATCACATGCTTCATCAAACTCAATATTAGAAAGATGCTCCCCTTATATTGGTAATCCAATAAATAATCAGCATTGTGAGCACATCTTTTTGGATTGTTTTTCTTTTTCAAACGTGTCTTTAATTTTCTTTCTTAGGTGGAGAAATTATAAAATCATGGCATGATTAAATTATGTGTATTCCAAATTAAACATCTCGTTTTTACGTTGGCCATGGTACATTTATCCCTTTGCAACAACATTAAGATAGTGAAATATTAAAGATTTTTAAATTTTTTGTCCAAAATATTTCTTCATTTAATATACTATTAGTAATTTCTTTCGGACAAATATCCAAATCTTCAACAGCTGCTTTCAGAGCTTTTTTGCATAGCCTTACATTTTATTGACGATGGCCATCTCGTTTGAATAATTGTACATAATGTGATATAAATTGTCAATTAGCAATTTTCTTAAACCATGCTTTAGCAAAATTATTATATTTATTTATATATTGAAGATCAATCAAATTAATAATGAGAAAAATTTTTATATTTCAAAATGAAATTCTAATCTTTTAATATAAAAATCTTATTATAATTAAATCGATGCCTTGATGGTACAAATATATTTTAAAATAAATTGTAACCTAATTAGATTGATAAACATGCTTTAAATAATACATATTAGTTAATTAAATAAATTATCAACCAATAACATTTTAAAGTATTTGACCAGGTTAAATATACTCCTTCGGTCAATTGACCGACTTGCCAACCCTGGCTAAAATACGTTATTCTTTTACATTTTTATTAAAATATATCATGTTTTGCTATTTGACATTTTTGTTATTAAAATGTCTATTTAATTAGTATAAGCTCACTTTATAAGTGATTTATAAAATTATGTTCTAAATTTTTTTACTTCTTCAGATAATATTCAAAAGAATTTAAATTAATATATATATTCCGAATTTTGATTTTTTAAACCTAACAATTATTATAATATTTTTAATAACAGACCCACTATGATTTTATATGGAATATCAAATATAAGAGAACTAGTTGGACATAAAGTGAATTTACAAATGGTTTACGAGAGTCCTATATGTTTTTTTAAATAACTATAATATGCAATTTGTTAAATTTAAATAAATATTCCCAAATTTTTCGTGTAACTTATTAAGATCTGGGAAAGCGAAAATTTTAAATTGATATAAATATATTGATTCTATTGCGGTGTATTTAAAAGATATTTCATATGAGACAGGTCCCTAAGTTAGCAAAACTATTTTTTTATTCTCACCAACGCATAATAAAATATTGGTAGAATGGGGCAGATAATTTCTTCTCAAATAATTTTAAAACGAATAAATTTTGAGATTTGAAATTTAAGCCAAATATGTATTTTAATAAGGTGCATAAGCAGGTCTAAAAATGTTTCACACTTACTCATGAGAATTAGTGCTGTATTAATAATTGTTTTTATAAATGTTTCTCACACTAAATGTCAATTATAAATGATAAAATAAACTCAATTTTATCATGTATAAATATATTGACAATATTTATGGTGATATAATATCCTCATATTAAATTTTAATTAATTGTTTAGACTGGGGCAGGTTTTCGCGGGGTATCTATTTTTATGCAGGGATTATTTTGAATAAAAAAAATTATAAGAACATTAGAAGCCAATAGCTTGTCTAGGGCTACGAATGACAATATGACTATGATTGACTTTTAATATTGATGAACCTGGTTTAATATATTTGTCAATTTATTCTTATTTCTTGGAATTAACATGTTTAAATATAAAAAAATTTAATAAGCGCTATGGCACGCAACGCGAAAGCATATTAGGTACCCAGGGTATTTTTCATTCTTAAATATTTTTTTTATGTTAATAAAAAAAACTAAGATTTTTGTTCTTAAATATTAATTTCTACCATAGAGATTGTAAAGAATAAAACTACGTTTAAACATTTTGGTTATTTGATTCATTTATTTTTTTATAGCACTTCAATTTTTTATGGACAATATAACCCCGGTCTCCCTTATATTATTCTGTTATAAGTTTACATTATATTTTCATACCGGCCATTCATTTAAGCATACCCTTAGGATCATATCGTAACCAGTGATCCGATTTTACGAATCAAATATTTCATTTGTTCGAATAATTTTAAAAACAATCATAATCATGATTATTTAAAAATATGATGCGAAGAATATACTAATATATTAATATCATGCTACATGTAACCTGTATGGGTAAATATCCCATAGTAAATAATTATTTTAGGCGATATATATACGCCTATTTTGTGTATTTGGTGATATCACAGTTAGAGGTCTTCGCCTATATAAGCCGGTGGGTGGGCTAAAAAATTATTAAGAACGATCAGGACATTCGAGTTAAAAAATTTTTAACTAGGCGGGGTGGATGGGCGGGTTAAAATTTTTAAACAATGGTCGAGTGGGTTAAAACTATTTTAAATTTATGTCATTTAAAATCATTTTAGAACTTTTTTGGAAATTAAAATGTCCTTTTTGGTATTATATAGGGTAAATTATTTAAAAAAAAACAAACAATTAAAATAAAATAACAATATGTTTTTTTATTTTTGCACAACCCTCAAAAAATAAATGACAATCAAATATATAATATATAACAAAACAGATTTAAAAAATACATACGGTAATTTTTTTGCATTTACAATTTTTATATAATTTAATTTTTTTTATAAAATACATACAGTAATTTTTTTGCATTTACAATTTTTATATAACTTAATTTTTTTTATAAAATAGAGTTTAATATTTTTTTTCTAAAATAGAGTTTAATATTTTTTTCAAATGTTTAATATACGACAAATTTTATCTAGTAATTCAAATTATTAAAACATTTTCTATGAAAATTATGAAATAATAACATTATTTATCCTGATCCTGTTTTATCTAATTCAAATTCAATACCTAATATTGAAGGACCTTATAATAGCCTTTTATTTAGAGATTATATCACTAATTAATATTCTACCGAGTGATGCAGTTATTGTTATGGACAATGCATCCATCCATAAAAGCCACCTCATTGATTGTTTTAGAGCGCGAATAGAATATTTGCCACCCTATTCGCCGCAACTAAACCCGATAGAAAATTTTTTTGGAGTGTTAAAAAACAAATATAGGTCGATCAATCCCCGACCAAATACTCGAAACGAAATTTAATAATGTAACATCAATTCTTAATGAATATACTATTCCTTTTGATTTTTCAAATTATTATAATAAAATGCATCAATTTTTGGAGATTGGTTATCGAGGACAACCAATGAATTAAGGTAAATTTATAAAAATATAATTTATATTGAAATATATTTTAAAGGAATTTAGAAAAAGGAGAATATATATATAAAGAAAAAACGAAAATTAAAATATCCAATTTTTAATGTATTCTTTAAATCTGTTTTGTTATATATTATATATTTGATTGTCATTTATTTTTTAAGGGTTGTGCAAAAATAAAAAAACATATTGTTATTTTATTTTAATTGTTTTTTTTTTTAATAATTTACCCTATAAAAACGTTTTTCTGAAAATAAATAATATTTTTGTATATTAAAAATTAAAATTTCCTTTTATGGTAATTTAATAAAACTTTTTTCTTAAGGCTGTGTCCAAAGTATCAAAAAAATTTATTCGCGCAATTTGTGCAAATCTAGCGAAAAAAAAAATATAAGCCATTTTTAATGGAAAATTAAAATGTTGACCTAAATGATTTTTTCAAATTACTATAAATACCAAAAAATGATTTAGGCCAAAATTTTAATTTTCCATTAAAAATGGTTTATATATTTTTTTTTCGTTAAATTTGCGCAAATTGCGCGATTAAATTTTTTTGATACTTTGGACACAGCCTAAAATAAATAAACATTTTTGGATATTGAAATTTAAATTTCCTTTTTTGGAGATAATAAATATAATATTTCTGCATTGTATTGTTTATTTTAAATTATAAAACTTTTATGCTGAAAATGAAATACTTTTTTTATTAGCTGCTTAAAAATTGAAAGAATGGCCATAATTAAATTTTATAATAACGGGTTTGGGTTAAAAATTTTTTTATAAATAATGGGCGGGCGGGTAAAAATCTTCAGACTAAAAGGCTGGCGGGCGGGTGAGGAATTTTAACCAATAATGAGTTGAAATTTTTTAAAACATAGGGTAGGTTGGCTTATACCCGCCCAATCCAGATCTCTAATCACAGATAAAGAATATTTTCTTATGAATTTAACAATATGAAATTTTGCATTGTATACTTTTCGAGCAAATACTTACACAACATCAGCTCTTGCCTATATTATAATATAAGTTACATGAAATATAGCAAAAAAATTTTCGTGAAACCCTTAATTCGCGACCGCGAAAAATAAGCGAGGATGCATTTCAGCGAATATATTGTGAATGCATTATAGTAGCACAATTCGGGCGTTTGCGTTTTGCAATACTTAGAAAAAACACATCCCTTGTTTAAATAGAGGTTGCCTTTTTATTAGTATCTTCGATTCAAAATTTGATTAAGTTATTAAAAAATGAATTTTTCATTAATTTTTAAATATTTCATCTTAAATAATAAGTTATTTTTTACGTTTTATTTAATATTATATTAAATTTACATATAATTAAACAACTAAGAAGAGGTTTCCCATTTATTATTCTTATCCGGGTAACAAAATTTTGGCAGCCTCGCGAAAAAATGGAGTTCTCAAAGAACAGGCTGTAGACCTGAATGAATAAAAAAAAGTATCGAAAAAGCAAACCAGTTTGCGTTACTTAAAATGGTTTCTAACGACAAGTGGTAATTTGACTAATTTACATCATTTAAAATGCATTATTTGGTTTGCAACACAGCTTTTTAAGCACTCAATTTGTGCCTGATTTTACATAGAATGTTTTACCACTAAATTTTTACCGTGAATACAAAAAAAACATTATAGCGAATCTACAATATATTATAGCCTATAGTTTCGAATATATTATTGAAAATGCACTGGCGAATTGTTTAGCGAATGCGTGGTCAATATCACGAATTTCTTAAATAGATTTATTTACCTTTCGCAAATT